TCGTGGATTTTCTTTGAACTGTGATCCTCAGACCTCAGCCTCCTGAATAGCTAGGATTATATGTCTGAATCACTGTCAAATGGCTATGCTTTCCTTTCCTTTTTCTTTTTTTTTATGCTGTGGATTTAATCCATGTTCTTGTGTACGCTAGGCAACAGCTTCTGAGCTACAGTCCCCAGCCTGTTTGTCTCCATTTTTGTTCCCAAAGGTGGTAACTGTAGAGAGGAATTTCTATTTTAAAAAATCAAGCACAAGGCATACTGTAGATGCATGGTGAAATTTATAGTGTTCTAAATCAAGGGGTGCAACAACATAGTTAATTAATCCTTTCATTTTTCAGAATACGTACAGTGAAGACTAAGGAAGAGAGGGAACATTGATTGCTTTTCCTTATTTAAGAACTTATTTTCCCTGTGCAACAATCTTAGAATCCCAGAACAGTTTGAAACATATTTTGAAAAAAAAATAGTAGCTAGGTTGCCTGAGAAAAGGAATCCCTTCTGTCGTACCTGTCCTGGGCTTGAACTCAGGGCCTGGGTGCTATTCCTGAGTTTTCCTGCTCAAGGTTAGCACTCTACCACTTAAGCCACAGCTCCACTTCCAGCTTTTTTTTTTCTTTTTTGAGGATGCTTAATTGTAGATAAGAGTCTCATAGACTTTTCTGTCCAGACTGTTTTCAAACTGAGATGCTCAGAACTGAGATCCAGTGCCCAGCTTGAATCTGAAATTTTAATTTCAAGTTTAGCCAACCTACTGGAGAATATATGAAAATACTGCATCTTAATGGAGGCAGTCTTTCCTGTAAACTATTACAATCACACATGATTTCCCCACCTCCCTTTTTTTTGTTGGGAACGAAGGTGCTATACCAAGATGAACCACCAGGGGGAACCCTCAGAGACATCTGTAGTTCTTAATTTTGTCAGCTCCAAAGAGCACCATTTATATGTGTGTGTGTGTACGCATGTATGTCTGTATGCGTATGTGTGTGCATGCTTATTTTAATTATAACCTGTATTAAAAGTTTGAGTAAGTTAATTTTTTTGTCGGTTGTCAGCCTTGAACACAAAGCCTGTGTCCCTGAGCCTCTTGGTGCCAAGGCTAATGCTCTACCACTTGAGCCACAGCACTATTTCTGGTTTTTGAGTGGTTAATTAGAGGCAAGAGTCTTGGGGACTTTTCTACCTGGACTGGATTTGAACTGTGATCTTCAGATCTCAGCCTCCTGAGTAGCTAGGATTTCAGGCATGAGCCACCAGCGCCTGGCTTTTATTTTAATTTTACAATTTTCCCCATATATATTTTTTCTTAGCATTGGCTAGTTGTAAAAAGTGGTTTCATTTTGACATGCCTATATATGCACCATTGTACCTTCATCAGAATCACTACCTCCATAATTCTCCATCATCCCCATTTCCCTCTTTCCCAAGCCAATCTCAACAAGTTTCTTTGTTTCATTTTCACACTTGTACATCAAGCATTTCAATCGCTTTAATCCTCTCCACCCTTTCCATTCTCCTTCCCCTTCCACTTTTGTCTTCCCTACCCCAGAACTTGTTTTTCATTGTTGTCATTCATTTTACTTAGTGTATACTAATTGTCCAAAGGTTTCAAAGCGGTATTTTACACATGTATATACTATACTTTTCCCGTCCACTCCCACCCCTTATTATCCAACTGCTTTTTTAAAGCGAGTTTCCTTCTGACATGGGCAACCCTTTTCTTAGGAATGTCCTTCACATGCAATGTAAATCAGTGTGTGCATATCACTCACCAGACAGATATTTTTTTTTAATGGATATAATGTCATGGTGGTAATGATAAAAACTAAGAAAACAACGCATAACAAAATAAAATGTATCTCAACACACAAAGCCTATGTACAAACACATTAGAAAATACACACTGAAATACTCTGATTCTTTACGTTGAGGCAAGTGCTAAAATGCAGAGAAGTGTAGGTGTCTTATGCTGATGAGTTGGGTGGCACTGGCTCTAGGATGAAATGATCAAAGATAAAAGATGCACCAAAAAAAGTCTCCAAACATGCCAGGCATGGTGGTACATGCCTATAGTCCCAGCTACCTGAGAACCTGAGACATTGAGGATCCCTTGAGCCCAGGATTTGAGAACACTCTGGGCAGCAGAGTTAAACAAGAAAGGAAGAGAAATTTATTGTTTTTAAAGGAAGGGAAGGGAAGGGAAAGGATAGCAAACAACTTTGGCAGGACTTGGACTCAGGTTTGCTTACTGTCCTTGCCTTAGCTCTTGTCACCACATCACCCTATTTGTTGACAAAAAGATAATGGACATATCTCCAAATATGACTTAGTGTGCCAGTGCTGCATGCAGTTCTTTAGGCCTGTGCCTAGGACTGCAGAAGAATGAAGAAATCTCAACCCTGGAATATGTGTGGGGTTCTAGTATAAGGACAGGTTACCCAGGTGGTAGAGCAATCCACAGCCAGGCAGGGGACAGTGAGTAACGGGAAGTCACTATGATCTTTGACTGTAAAGTGACGGGGCAGATGAAAAGTTTACAAGGCAGCAAGCTAGCCAATGACAGCTCAGACCTCAGGAAGTGACTCCATAAAGGAAGAGCCTCTCATCATGCTGGAGAAGGCATCCGAGGTAGAGACGGGAAGCAAGGAAGTTCCTTGCTTCTCTCTAATCTGATGCTTCTTCCTTCAAGCCAGTCAGACACTGCAGATGTCTGGAAAAACCACTCTCCGTGGGTCATTCGCCTTCCAGGGATGGGAAGGTTGAGATGGGAGCAGGGAGCAGATCTCAGGGCAAAGGGATAAAATGGGCACTGCAGCACTTTATTTTGTTTCTGTCTTATGGAATAATCAATTTAAGGCTCATCTTTGTCTTCTGGGAGCACAGCACTTCTGATTCATATGCTTTTTTGGGGGGAAAAGAACATCAGTTTATGTTATGTTTTGAAGCCTGTGGCTAACTAGAGCCATTCAATAGTAAAGATCAGACTTGTGGATCTATTTTTTCTGTTCTTGTCTCTTTTTCTTCTCCCCTCTGTGACCACTGTCCCTCATCAGGGATTACTGCCACAGCCACCACCTGCTGGCCTGACTCTTCCCCCTCCACCTTGTTTCCGGAAGAAATCTTTCTAAACAAATAAATACCAGTCCTGCTCAGAACACTGAATGTCTTTCCCAACCTCTAGCACAGGGCCTCGATGCCTGGACCACCCTGACTTTTAGCTTCCTGTAGGCTTCACCCTACCAGCCTTTCCATCTGCTGTTTTCCCTTTACTGTGGCTGTCCTGATTCTTGGACTACAAGAACAACATATCCTTCAGGACATGGCAAACCTTCCGAAGCTGTGTTAAGATGTCACTCCAACACCTTGTAATGATTACCTTCTCTCATCCCCAATGCCAAGGCTAGAAGACAGGTTAGGTCTTATTTTTTGAGAATGATCAAACATCCAACACTTGAGACTTAAAATGTGTTCAGCCAGGCATTGGTGGCTTAAAGCCTGTAATCCTAGCTACTACAGGAAGTGGCCTGAGCAGTCCTAGATCTACTCAGCTCAGCCAGAAGTCTTTGAGGCTCTAATCCCCATCTAACGACTAGAAAGGCAGAAATGGAGCTGTGGTTCAAGTAGTAGAGCACCATTCTTGAGCAGAAAAACTTAAATGACAGTGCTTAGGCCCTGATTTTCAAGCCTCAGTTCTGGCACAAAAATAAAAATATGCTCAACGATCTGTACAAAGCCTTTTTATAGTTTGCACGATGTGTCCTCATAGTTGCTTATTTAATTCCCCGCAGGTGGTAGTATTTCCTAATTACACAGGTTTCTGGCTCTCTGCAGGGACAGCACAAGGGACTTGGGTTGCAGTCCTGCTCCGCGGTGGACTGGCTTTGGCATCCTGGACAAACAACTTCAAGTCCCTGTGTCCTCATCTGTACAAAAGAGTCAGGATTGTTCAGAGGACTGAATAAAACAATGCCTATTAGAAGTCTAACAGTGAGTGTCTGGCTCATCGCGGAAACTATAAATGTGAGTTCCCTTCCTGACCCCAAGCTTGGCAAGCTGCTTCTTCTATTTCTATGGCGGCTCCGCCCCGCGAGCTCCGGAGGCCACCGGGGTGCCAGCTGCGGAGGGCTGTGCCCGTCTGGACGCGGTAGCTGCCACGGGTACCAGCGAGCCTTAAAGGGGCGCCGGACTCGGGAGCTGAAGGGTGGGCAGGGGTTGATCGGAGAGCCCCGTGAGGGGCACTGGTCTGCCAAGGGAAAGCTGGTGCCACCACACACACCAGAGGAGGCCACCCAGACCTCTGGGACTCAGTCTCCCCAAGTCCGGTGGCTGGCCTCTCCCGCCTACTACATCTCGGCTTCTTGCTCCCTGGCCGCTTCCTCGCTGTGGCTGCAAGCAAAGAGGGTCTTGGACCAGTGCGCAGGGACTGGTTGGTGCCTCCCGCGCCCAGGCCCCGCCCCGCGCCCAGGCCCCGCCCCGCGCCCAGGCCCCGCCCCGCGCCCCAGGCTCCGCCCCTCCGCGGCCCCGGCTGGCCGGGGGCGGGGCATGCGCACCCCGCGGCGGGCGCGGGGAGGGAGCGCGCGAGCAGTTTCTTTCCCGGCGAAGCTGCGCTGACCCGAGCGAGCGGTGCAGCGGGGCGCGGGCTGGCGGTGGGCGGGGAGCCGGACTCGGGAGTCGGGCGCGCGCCACCAGCTCGGTCGCCAGACAAGTGCGGGTGTGCCTGGCCGCCTGGACGGACTGAGGACCGCCGTCTGGAGCACCGGGGCCGGCGCCCGACCGCGCCTGGAGAAGTGAAGCGGCGGTGACCTCCGCGAGGGGGAGCGGGCGGCCGCGGCTGCGAGCCCCGCGGGGATCCGGGGGACGGCGGGAGCGCGGGGCGCAGACCGGGCGGGGCCGGGGGACAGGGATGACCGAGTGCGCGGGGAGGCTGCACGCCGCCGCCGCCGCCGCCGCCCGGAGCATCCGCCGCCCGAGCCGCAGCTCCAGGCCCCCGCCCGGGCCATGGAGACGCTGAACGGCCCCGCGGGCGGCGGCGCACTGGACGCCAAGCCACCGGGCCAGCACCACCGCCACCATCACCTCCACCCACTGGCCGAGAGGAGGCGGCTGCACCGAGCGCCCTCGCCCGCCAGACCCTTCCTCAAGGACCTGCACACCCGCCCCCCCGCGCCCGCCTCGGCCCTGGCGGCCCCCTCCCCGGGCCGAGCCCCGGCGCCCACCGCCCCGCGCTCGCCCAACCTTGCCGGCAAGGCGCCGCCGTCGCCCGGCTCCCTGGCGGCGCCCGGCCGCCTCTCCCGGCGCAGCGGCGGCGTCCCCGGCGCGAAGGACAAGCCGCCACTGGGCGCCGGAGCCACCAGGGCGGCGGGCGCTGCCAAGGCCGCCCCTGGAATCAGGAGGGCGGCGCGCGCGGTGCCCGCTGAGCCGCTGCCTCGGGCGGGGAAGCCTCCCGGGGCCGAACAGCCGCCCAACGCCGCCAAGGGCCGCAAAGCCAAGCGCGGCTCCGCGGTGCCCCCCGCGCGCGCCGTCGGTCTACTGCCCCCCGCCGCCCCGATCCCAGCCGTGACCCTCTCTGTGACCTCGGCGGCCGGCCCCCTGGCCCCCAGCCCGCGTACCAGCCACACGGACAGCAGCTCCGACCTCTCCGACTGCCCCTCGGAGCCCCTTTCCGATGAGCAGCGCCTGCTCCCCGCCGCCAGCAGCGACGCCGAGTCGGGCACCGGCTCCAGTGACCGGGAACCCCCGCGAGGAGCAGCCCGGGGGGCGCCGCCCGCCAGCCCCGACCCCCCCGCACTCCTCGCTGCACCCCAGGTCGCCGCTGCCTGTCTGGGGGGCCGGAGCAGTCCCAGCGGGGTGGCCCCAGGGTCCCCCGGATCGGGTGCGACGGAGGATGTTGGGGGACGCGTACCACCTGAGCGAGCCGTCCCCGGGACGCCCAAGGAGCCCAGCCCGGATGAGCAGCCCCGGCTCGTGCCGGGGCCGGCAGTGGAGGAGGAGGAGCTGCTTCGGGAGATGGAGGAGCTGCGCTCGGAGAACGACTACCTCAAGGTGATTGAGCCGGTGCCGGGTGGCAGATGGGACTGGAGCCTGGTAGCCCGGGGCTGGGGGCGCTGCGAGCTCTTTTACCCACTATGTTCTGAACTTTCCTGCCCCGCATTTAGTAGGTCTTGGTGGCCTGAGCCACAACTTGTGGGCGAAGCAAGACCTGTCGGTCCTTCTCACCCTCTTAGCCCTTCTTGGTTTTAGTATTGCCTGCCTTTGCTGATGTCATTTGCTTTCGTCAACTAAGCCTGCTGGGAGGTGGCGACAATCATTTCTGGATACATCAGTTGACCCCGGGCTAGTTTCACCTGTTGGGGAGGTGTTATCTCTAGCCATTCAGTTGTGGCCAGACCTTGGCAGCCATGCGGTGGTGCAGGCTTGCGGATTTAACTGCAGCTTCTCCTGTAATTTCAGAAAAAGCCAGGGGCCTACAGTGTCTCCTATGAGCTCCTGCAGCACACGCAGGGGGAGGGGCCTGGTTCTTTTCAGTGTTGAAAGTTCAGGAGCCTGGTGGCCTGGGTTCAGGGACAACAGTATTTCAGTGGGTGGAGAGCTTTGTAACTGTCCCCAAGCCAGCCCTCCTATATCGCCAGAGGCAGGGTCAGCTCTTTGGAAGGAAGGGATTGAGACTACTGTCACACTGATACTTCCCGCAGGGTGTGCTTGCAGTCCCCTTAGTTTTAATCCGACTCCATCTTTTCTCCACGGAGAAGGCCCGTGGTGCAGAGCTGAGGGTTTAGACTGTGTTGAGGGGGTCAAAGACAGCTGAGGTGATTGGAGAGAAAAATAAAGAGAGCTGTGCTGGGGAGGCTGTTTTAGAATTTATTACAATCCTCAGGTTGGCAAATCACTCCAGAGGCAATAATTTATTCCTGTATCTGTTAAAATCTTTGGGAATACCTCTTAAAGTGACCGTGTGACCCTGCTTTCTGAATGGGCTATGTGATTTGAGCTGTTTTCTCAGCAAATGATAACCTGTCTCCTTGAGGCCCAGTGTTTGACACCTGGGACTGAGGATTGGCTTTTCTAAGTTGATGGTGGTAAGTGTACAATTCGGGCTGGAGTCAGCACATGAACTGTGGTACTCCTTCCCAGACCAGAGTCTTTTTCAAGAGCTGTTCTAGCCAGTGATGTTAGAGTGTGGGAAGAAGGAGACGGAGCAGCAGAAGTGAGAATAGGGCAGAGTGGAACTTGGAGATGTTTCCAATAGTGCGTCTCTTATATAAGAGACAGTGGAATGAAATTCCAAGGGGTCCAAGAGAAAAGGCAACTGTTGTGTGGGACTCTTTCTGACAAAAGCATTTTGGAAGATCCCTGAGGGTGAGAGAGATCAAAGGTGATTTTTTGAAGCATAACCCTAACCTACAGGATTTCTGCCCAAACTATGATGCATCCAAAGTAGGACTGCCCAGAAACAGAAAATGTGTTCTTCTGATAGAAAATACATTTTTATTACTTCCTGGGTCTTCAAGAAGGCAATTACTTCAAAATACATTCTTAGGTTTTTATCCTTTATTGACTGGTTTTATCCTTATTTATTCATTCACTCATCTAGTTAAATTCCCAATAAAGACCCTGACCTTTCATGGTTCCTCACAAGATCCCACCACAGCCGCCTCCCCACCCACCCCCACAATCCCTCACAGTGCCAGCACCCTGAACATGCTAGAATGGAACTGAATCTCACCCCTACCCCCAGCTCTCATTGTTACATTTGTTACAACTCCAGTTCCACAGATAAGGATACTGAGAACCAAAAACTTAAGGGACTTTCCCAAGGTCACCTAACCAGTGAGTGACACCCTTTGTGCTGGCCTCCATTCTGTTCAGCATACCAGGCTGCATCCCTGTTTCCCGCAAGGCTGCTGTTCTCTGTGTACCCTGCTTCCAAGCACCCTGCCTCTGAGCTCTTTTATTAGTTCTCTGAATTCTGCTTTCCTAGGGGACTCTTGTTTTCTTTTCAGGTGAAAGGGCTGTAATGAACTTCTGTCCATGAATTCCCACTGGCAAGGTTTAATTTTCGGGAAATGTTCACTTGCCATTTCCTGTGGAGAAGGTGTTATGACCATCTGTTTGCTGCGCCTGAGTGGCCTTTCTACCAATAGCCTGAGCATTGGGTAGAAGGGTCCAAATGAGACTAGGAAAACAGAATCATTACATGTATGTGTGAACTATGTATATGCTTGATCCTTCAAAAACCTAATATCAGAATCTCAATTTGGGAAAGAAACATAAGAGGCCAGGTAGATTTCTGTAGGGTTGAGGAGCTCTATCAGTGCATGACCAGACTCCTTCTAGCAGCAGCAACCTCAGGGGACCTAGACCAGTCTGCCTTTCTTTGTATGGGCCATGCACATTATAAACTTAGCTTTGCTTTTTGTTCTGTATGATGCTCTGGGAAACTTTTTTTTTTTTAAATGGTAGATAAAAGTACATCCTTGACCTACTAGTTTTTTAGGGAGTGTTGCACAGATTAGATATAGCACAGATTCATCTGTTTATATGTTATCCAAAAGGAGAAACTTGGCCTAGAAATATTACTTGGATCTCTTCTGGAGGGTTGTGGCCATATGAAGCATTACATTCTTCCCTTGAATCAGGATTGTTACCATTGCTGTGTAAGACTGCCATAATTTCAGACCTCAAATGATGGTGTCATCAAACAGGAAATCAAGGCCCCATGACCCTAGGAGAATGTCTTATGAATCAGGAAATTCAAGGGTAATTCTCCTGGTTTTTAGTATATTTTCTTTTAAGCTGTGTGGAATGTATAGAGTTATTCCTGACCCTATTTTCAGTCTCTTCAGCAAAGGGGTCTGGGGTGACCAGATGAAAAAGCACGTCACTTAGTCCAAGTGGCTGGTTTTGCATGAACCACAGACAGAAATGTAGTTGGGTTTTCTTTTGCCCTCTGATGAACTGGAAGATATCTGCAGGTATTCAAAACATAAAATAAGCTGACGAGTTCAGTTATCTCCAGGCCTTTGCTTCTTTCCCAGACAAACCCAGGCATGTTTTTAAACACGGAAACTGACTTTTGTACAAGCCTGATGTGTTTCCATCTTGCCAGAATGCCACATATTTTGCTTGATTGCTCTAGGACAATCAGACAAACTACAGTGCTCATTGTCAACATAATAATTATGTCTTCTGTTTCCACAGGCCTTTCAGGAGAATGTAATCACTTTGAGTTTATTTTCTTATTTTGAAGATGCTTTTGGCAGCCTTAACATTCATAACCCACCCCCAGTGGACCCTTACTATGCTGCTGTCTGTCAGTGGATCAGAGTTGGGGTGGGAAGGGCTGTTTCTTTTGCTCTACTTTGTCAGTTATTTTGTAAGAACATTTAATTTAAAGAAAACAAGGGTAGATAACATTGACCTTTCTGGAGGGGTGATTCCTAAGGGAGAGGCTGAGGTTTTGGTTTTATGGGAATTGAAGCTTGGCCTTATGCATGCTAAGCATATGCTCTACCACTGAGTTACAACACCTAGGATTGTGCTTTTATAGATCGAAATGTCTGCCCATTGATCTGGCCTTGCCATCCTGTCACTTGGGGCAGTTTTTTTTTTTTTTTATGAGTTTTTGGCTCAGACATCTTGTTATATTTGGTTGAGTAAGATGCCAGACACTCGGAATCTTACACTTGGAGAGGGGGACAGTTACGGGGCAAGAAGAAGCAGCTCTCAGCAGCTGAGGTCGTTCAGCTCCTGCCTGTCCCTTCTCTTTCCCTTTCTTGTGGAAGGATTAGCATGGACAATATTCCTTAGTCTTCTCTCACATGCTGCTTTCCACATCCATTCTGTATGCAGCCTGTGAAAGCAGCACTGTCCTCATGATAGGTGGCAAGATGGGGTGACCAGGCCCACATCCCCTCCCTCTGTACTTGATGAACAATGGCTACAGCCCCTTGCCTTCTTAGCTCCAGCTGGGACTGGAAAGAACATTGCTATTGTCCCAAGGGAAATGAGGTGGATGATTTGGATGTGACAAATGATAATAGTTTGTGTCTGCAACTCCTAGACAATGGAATTATTGCAACAGTAGCTAGAGAACTGCTTCTAGGGTTCAGATTGGGTTTATTGAAACAGGAGTTATTAAAATAGAAATTGTGATTGGTTTGGGACTAAGAATAACATAATCATTAGTATGATCAAGTTTGATCACTTATACCAAGATGTCCTGAATTTGGTCCTTTGTATTTATGGATCAAACAGTTCTAGAGGTTTTGATTGAAACATTTTATCTTGGTTTAATCTTTTAATCTTGGTATATTCAGTTGTTGGAGTAGTACCTCATTATTTCTTGGACTGATGATGTCATAAGGCTTGATTTGTTATATGTAGGAAAAAGAGAATAGTTGGATAGCTTCATTCCAGGAATTCATTTTATGTAAAATATTTGAAATGTATAATTTAAACTAGGCTAGCTTGCAGCAAGACAATGATGGGACATTTAAATATATCACAGACTTGTTATTAATTCAATATAGAAGTGCTAAGGGCAGTTTTTCTTATTAATTTTGTGTATAATAAGAAAACAGAAATTTCTACTTTTATTTACTGTGTAATCAAGATAGTATCTGTCAGAAACACTATGTTCTGCTTCATTTGATTTCCTTAAACAGTGGAATGGCAGACTTCTTTAGGGTTCTGGAATACAGTGTTTTCTAAATTAGAGCATGTCCTCAGAAAATTAATGTAATGGTAGCTTGAAAATCACTACTCATCATGACCCTAATCTGAATAATAATAGTTTTTGCTATTTGAGTGACTGCTGCCAGCTTACATGGTTTGTAATTTGCTTCTCTGTGACTTCTTCTCAACGAACCTGAAAATTGCTTTTTTCCAGATGCCACAGGAGGAGTGAAAACATTAGTCCTGGTCCTACTGCTATACTAGACACGTGGGTGGGAAGCTATTTAAACTTTTAAATTCTCAATGCTCCCCCCCCTTTATTTTTTGGCATGGTGCCAGGGTTTTGAGCCCAGGGCTTCCTACTTGCC